TTTGATTTCGCGAAATTTAATGGACATAGAAAAATCATATATTTGTGTTTTCAAGGGTCCTAAACAATTTTTAACACAAGGTGTTAGTACAAGNACTTGAATAGACCAATGACTGATACATTCTGCTGCTTGACACGTCTCTTACCCATTTACACTCTCATCAATATTTTTTAAGGTGGAACTGGGTTTCCTGTGTTTAAATTGAAAGAATTTCAAACGTGTGGCGTTTCTTCAATAACAGACGTAGCACAGCTTGATACATGTATATTAGAGAATATAACGACCAAGCCAAGGCTACTCCAGTTCTGTGCCGCTCTCCCATCCCCCATCTAGTTCTTCTCCTGTAACGCCTGCATGCCGTGGCGAATATGCGGGCAAGCGCCCTTGCAAAACAGATTATTTGTTGTAAGTTTTATAGTAATATAGCAAACCGAGGACTGTTCCACACCAATTCGTTATGATAAAACCTTAGCTTTCCTTAACTTTCGCTGGCAAAAACCCGTCAAAAGTTCTGTGTCTATAATTGCCTTTTAGGGCATTCTTGGACCTGCATTTTGTTTGCGAGCAAGCTCTCCAGGGGATGCGGGGGTGGGGGAGGGAAAAGGGGAGGGAGAGCTTCCAATGACGTCTCATAAATTTGAATTCCGCCCCAAGAACCCCCTATGGCTCCTCTGGTGTTGAGCTGTCAAAAACTGACCAATCAGATCTTCCCCTTTCGATAGCGTTTTCCTAAACCTTCGTTTGACCTCTTCAGTATGAACGCAAGGCCAAAACGCGTAAAAATATCTACCTTGTCAAACGAAAACGCATTAAAGTGGAACCTCGATTTAATAAAGGGCCAAGGGACTGACAACATTTGTTCGTTATAACGAGGTTTTGTTATTTTTCATTAGTATTCTACTATTATTGGGGTAAAGATAACCGTTAGTTATCTCGAGGACTTCGTTTTGTAGTGGTTCGTTAAATTGAGGTTCCACTGTATTATGCATAGGGTCTGTAAGATATATGAATTGCTGTTCAAAGTTGCAGCACGGTCATTGCTTTAAAAGTATCTCGATGTTCGCCAATAAAAGACGGTGACATTGCTATGGAATTTTATCTCAAGAAGAATAAAATAAAGTTATCAGTTGAATATTTATATATAATTATATATAAAGATGGGGTTATCGTTTTTGTTAGAAGTTTTCCCAAGCCAAACGCGCGACTCCAGCGAAAAAAAAAGGGAAACAAGTCGTCTTGCACTTTGATCCGTCACTCTGCGTTCCTTACCTTGACTACAAAGAACGTAAATGTTAGGGTCTTAGGAAAGAAACGGTTTTAGGCTTATATGGTTTGGGGGTATAGCTTCCTATTAGGTAATACGCACGTGCATACCCGCAAATGATCGAAAATTCATATATACCAAAGTCAAAATAGGAAGCTATACGGAATAAAACTATTATAAAAAAAGGAAAAGTTGCTGAAAAAAGGCGCAAACGCCTATTTAACGCTGCTTTACCTTTGAATTCCCTAGGAAGCCTTTCCGCGATCGCACTCAAAGCTTTGTGATGTGAATGAATGCTTGGATGGCTTGCGATCTCGCAGGCCGTTGCTAAGTGATAACAAGCAACAGTTCTAAAAAGGGCCTATTCGTCTCAGGAAAATCAATGCAAAGTCTACAAAAAATTAAAAATATAGTTATACCTGCTTTGAAACGCGGCGAGATCGATGTCGGCAGTTATCTTCAGAAAGACACTGCAAAGTCCCTTTTTCACTTACAAAACATAAGGTTCCTACTCAAACGAATACAGCCATCGCTTTCATTTGTTTTTCACTACGACACTTCGTCCTCCTAAATCTTTCGACAGACTGAGCAGTCAAACGACTGTTTAACTGTGATAATAGACGGATCGAAATGCACCGATGACATTACGAGTCTTCTTAGCCAATAACATCACGGCTTAACTGACATACGACCAATAAGATCAAGACTTAATTGACCAATCAGGTCAATATCCCGAGTTTAATACCTACAACTGACGTGATACAACTCACTTTGACTCTGAAGATGACTACCGCACAGGTTGTCGAAACCTCTGTCACTGTCAACAACAACAACAACAACAACAACAGTCCTGTTCAGGACTTCGTTCACCCGGGCCATCGTCCATGTACTCAACCTTTAACTTATAAAATAACTCCTGGGTCATGATATGATAAAGAGATGATGTATCTGGCCGTGATGTTTCAACTTTGAATAATCAATACTATATACAATGCTCGCAACCCAAGCGACCCAAAGAATCTCTCTCGCAATTTTCTTAATCCATTTTTCTCTTTATTTGCGCTGGACATTATATAATTAACATTTTTTTTCTTATAATAGTGTGCGCACAAACGTGCCTTTAATAGTACTCGTAATCGATAGTAAAGGTGCCAGACTTTATGAGTGTTTTAAGTAAACTACAGTATAGTTATCATAGTGTACTATAGTCAATTTTACTTTATATTCACTTCGCTATCGCCCTTGAACATTTTGAAGTGTTATATAGCTGGAAATTTGTTTCTTACAACGCGCACTCTCATTGGTTACTTCGAGGTCACATCGCATCTAACAATGAAACTGTTTCCCGCCAAAATCTCTGAGCGGGCAACGTTGCAAAATCTATGACGTCAGGGGTAATGTTACAGCGAGGTTTAAAGAATGTTTTCCAGCTTCAACATTTTCAGCCATATAACAGATCACTTAAAGACTGTTCCCTCGAGGAACAGTAAATTTTGCTTTCCTCGGGAACAGTTATTAAGTGTTTAATATTGTTGTATGATGCCAAAAATCACTAGAAGTCATAAACTATAACAAAAGGTATTATGGATGAACATCAATAACACCCCACATCTGTTAGTAACTCTACTGCCTCGTACGCAGGCTTTTTTCAAGGTTCTGCATAGCGCAGTCCTGGGCCTGAGTGGAGAATAATGGGAACGAGCAATAGCAAGGGGTGATGGGAAGGCAAAACATTTTTTTTTTCTTCCCTTTCCGTTTCCTCCTTTGTCTTGCTTTAATTGATAATCAAATAACTATCGCGAGCGACTGCTATCAAAAATTATAACATTTCCAAACAATTTAAGTTAATTAAGGCGTTTCGATGCAGTTTTCGGGAGACCATACCGATATTTATCAATCGCCTTAACAGTTATTTATAATAATATCCTTGTCCTTCACCAGTGATTGACTATGAAATGGAGTTTGTCAAAATGCAGTTTCAAGTATAATCGATATCAATATGACGAAAATTAACAAAAAAGTCTGAAATCTATAAAGGCCGAATTTTGAGTGATCTAGACCTGCTACTGAAAATCCGACACAAGGAACGTAAGGTTCGGTGTTTAGCGAATGGCCTGCGTGAGAAATAAAACAATTGGGTACGTTTGAATTCAAATAAAAGTTAGTATATCTCAAACTAAATACATTTCAAACTAAACCCTTTAATATCCCTGATATGTTATTTAATTAAAAAGTTCTAAATAACTCAAATTGATCTTAAGTAGAATTCGCTGCTTAGAAACTTTGGTGTATTTTCTTTCTTGCAATCCTGAAAACTAACCTTTTTTCTCAGTACATTTCAGTGTGAATAAAGCTGCATCGAAACACATTTAGTGATGAAAATGCAAAATGAAGTCATGGAAAAAATAATGTGGCAAGTCATATTGGATAATTATCATAAAAGTAGAAAAATGTTGAGATAATATAAATGGACTGAAT